GCTCCAGGGGATTATTAATGCTTCATTGAGTGAGGGTGACTTTCCCGCCGCCTTGAAAGAGGCGGTGGTGAGGCCTCTCCTCAAGAAGCCTTCCCTGGATCCTGCAGTGTTAGCAAACTATCGTCCAGTCTCCAACCTTCGCTTTGTGGCGAAGGTTGTTGAGAGTGTGATGGCGCGACAGCTTCCCTAGTACCTGAATGAAACGGTTTATCTAGATCTGTTCCAGTCGGGCTTCAGGCTTGGGTACAGCACGGAAACGGCATTGGTCACGTTGTTTGATGATCTCTGGAGGGCTCGGGACAGGGGTTGCTCCTCTGTCCTGGTCCTATTAGACCGCTCAGCGACTTTTGATACCATCGACCATGGTATCATGCTGCACTGGTTGGAAGAATTGGGGGTGGGGGGCACCGTGCTGCAGTGGTTCTCTTCCTTTCTCTCTGACCGGTCACAGTCTATGTTGGCAGGGGGGCAGAGGTCAACCCCGAGGGCCTTGTATGTGGGGTGCCACAGGGGCTGGTCCTCTCGCCCCTTCTGTTCAACATTTATGTGAAGCCACTGGGTGAGATCATCCGTGGTTTCGGGGTGAAGTACCATCAGTACGCTGATGACACTCAGCTTACATCTCCACCCTGGACCACCCCAATGATGCCCTTGAAGTGATATCCTGGTGCCTGGAGGCCGTGCGGATCTGGATGGGGAGGAAGTACAGTGATAGTACAGTGGTCTACGCACCCTGTTATTAACACAGCTGCCTGCAATTTACTGCTGGTTCGAATTTCTCCAAGGCTCAAGGTTGACTCAGCCTTCCATCCTTTCTAAGGTAGGTGAAATGAGGACCCAGTTTGTTGGGGCAATAAGCTGACTTTGTATAAATATACAAAAGTATGAAGGCTATTGCTTAACACATTGTAAGCCGCCCTGAGTCTCCGGAGAAGGGCGGCATATAAATCAAATTAAAAAAAAAAAAAACAGACTCAGGCTCAACCCATCCAAGACCGAGTGGCTGTGGTTTCCGGCGTCCCGATATAGTCAGTTGGTGCCATCACTGACTATTGGGGGCAAGTCGTTGGCCCCCATGGAGAGGGCTCGCAACTTGGATGTCCTCCTGGATTCACGGCTGTCTTTAGAAGAGCATTTGATGGCTGTGGCCGGGAGGACTTTCTATCAGGTTCACCTGATCCACCAGTTGCGTCCCTTTCTGGATCGGGACTCCTTACACATAGTCACTCATGCCCTCATCACTTCCCGCCTGGACTACTGTAATGCTCTCTACATGGGGCTCCCCTTGAGGAGCACCCAGAGGCTCCAACTGGTCCAGAATGCGGCTGCGTGCGTGGTTATGGGAGCGACGTGGGTTCCCATGTAACACCTCTCCTGCGCGAGCTGCATTGGCTCCCGGTGGTCTTCCAGGTGCGCTTCAAGGTTTTGGTTACCACCTTTAGAGCATGGCTTTTAAAACAATAGGGGTGTTTTAATTTGTATGGGTCAAATTATTTAATGTGTTTTTATATGATTTTTTAAATTTTGTAGTATGTGTGTTTTATCTTTTGGCTGTTCACCACCCTGAGTCCTTTGGGAGTAGGGCAGTATATAAATCCAAAAATAAATACATAAATAAATAAAATAACTTTGGTACAAGGATGTCAGAGGTAAAGTCATTTCTGTCCCTTGTTGACAAAGAAATCAGAACTTCTAAAAGAAATTAATTGCCATTTGTGAATACATATATCATATAGAGTGGAAACTCATATAAATACTTCTTAGCATTGAGTTTGATGCATGCACATGTGTAAACAAATGATGACTCATTTCTTTTGTAAAGAGATTTTCATTCACTACTATAACAGATTGATATGGGTCCTTTGCAAAAATAACCACAGAAAGAACTTTATATACTTAAGAGAACTAGAGGTTTTATTATTATTTTCTTCTTATGCCAAGAGAAAAGCAGCTCTTGTAATTAATTTGAGCTTAACTCTTCCTTTTTTAATATAGCCAGTCAGCTCATCTTCATACAAAATATTAATTGGAGCTTAGATACCGGTAGTTAGTAAAGGTACTCAATGGAATAGGTTGTTGGATCAGACAGCTTTTAAACTTTCCAAATCTTATATATAAAATATATGCCTTTTAAATCTATGTGTGTCATACAAATGATATAACTCTTACAAATATATTATAATAGTGTACATCCCAGACATAGAAGCTAAACATTATAGCAGTAGTATTCTCTAACTTATTGGAAATATACTTATGATAGAAAAACGTGTGAAAATTAATAAAACAATTGAAGCATTGTTTTAATTATCTAGATCTGGAGCCTTGATTACTTCATTTAAAGTAAAAGAAATGCCAAGACAGAGGAAAGGGGGGAAAAACCCACAAGAAATGGCACTTGAAGTTAACTGCAGGCTCCAGCATTAGCTAGAATATTGGTACAATGTGTTGTGCTCTTAAAGCAAAGTAATGGTAACTGGTAAATGGTAAAGGGATTAATGGTAACTTCTTACTGTTCTGCAGTTTGTTGATTTCTGACATGATCAGGTCAATTTGTCCTTAAAAATAAAATAAAAAGTATTATAGTTTTTATGAAATCAAGTTGGAAGCTCCTTTCATTTTTCAGGTAAGGCACATTCTAATGGATGGGGGGGGAAGGGGAAAATTCTTAAATGTGAATACAGATCCTTTATTTCTTGAAGATTTTCTTTACAGTGCATGAAAAAAAATCCTATTAGGAAAGGAAAAATTTTGAGGTAGATTTCAGAACCCTGATATCAAGATATTTTTGTTGCCTTCGTCACTGTCAAAATATCTTGGAAAGGCAACTCAGGGAAAATTCTGAGTTGCAGTAAGTAACTATTAAGATTAATATTAAGAATATTAAGTATATTATTATACTTAATATAAGTATATTATTATTAAGAATATTAAGAATATTATTATTATGGATATGTTATCATATAATACACATTGCATGTAGGTAAGCAAATGCAGCAATGCATTCTTAAACTGTGATATCATTATGTTGAGAAATGATGTCTGTGATAAAAAATTAGCTGAAGAAAATGGGTTAGTCTTGTATTAATAAGCACTTTTCTCTAATGTCTGATTCTCTTCTAATAGCTCTTCCTCCCAGTGCTGGATTCAAAATACAGTGATGCCTTATCACTTCTCAAATAGTCCCCTTGAAAGGGAAAAGTTATAGTGCTAAACATATGCATCCTAACCCTGCCACTGATGCTCCCAATAGTGTTGCATCCCTACATTTTCACAAATATGATAAAAATTTCTATGCAATCTAATATCTATGGTAAGAAATCCTGAACTAATTAAGTTCCCTCTGGAATGGAGTAGTCTCTTTCCTTTCATCAGGATGTTATGCAAGCCAGAAAAATGTGTCAAAAATAAGATAGGGAGGTTCAAACATACTGTACCATATAAGGGCTCTTCTAAAAACTTGTTAAAAAGAAGTGTTATTGAAGTGTATTGGTTGGAATATGAATACACACCTATGCTTACTATGTTCACATTTTGTCTAAAATGGGTTTATTAATATTCAAGCTGCTTCTATTTTAAACAAACAAACAAAACTCTGAGAAGAGCAAATCAAAAATTTCCAGGAGCAAACATTCAAAATAAAAACTAGAATATTTTGAAATAAGGTAACTGCATTTAGTCTATTTATATTTTGCTGTTGTAGGATTGTATGGTATAAAAGATTTGGATGAATAATAAAATGAAAAATAAGTAGGTAGTAAAAATTTGTGGAAGTAGTTTTCACAGTTCAAATATCTTAGGTACCACGTTACACGTTTCCTAGAAAGTTTCCTCTGCAGTTGTATAAGAAAGGAATTTGAAATATATGGATGAAGTGATGAAAAAATATTTATTATTTATTGAAACTTGCATAAAATTTGCTTTACAATTGTGTTAGAAATACAAAATTCCCTGCCAACACAATTGCAGAAGGTTAATCTCCCTTCTCTATTCACAATTCTTGTTATGTAAGATATTTTATTAAGTATGTGAAGGGCCAAACTTATATTATATTGGAATTCTTAGCCAGATTGTTACGGAGATACACCCAGTGATTCTACTCCATCACTTTCCCAGGCTGACTACCATGTAGATTTTATTTAAATAAATAAATACATTTTGCAGAACACTGAATATCCTTATATGATATAAAAAGGAACAGAAATATTTTCAAGGAACTCAGCTCCCAACAACTGCATCTTTGTAGGATTTGTTTCTTTTACTAAGAAATGATTCATTATTGCCTTTTTCAAGGTATTTTTTTAACATTCCAACCTAACCAGCATGTGATATATAATACCTAAATCAATACATCTGCCTTATGAATAGATGTGTACCTATGAAGGAAAAGTTGTGCCTTTCTTGTTTGCTTTTGATGCAGCAAATATTATTATCTGATTTATTTTGTACATAAAGAAAATTCTTGTATATTATCATTTGCTTACTACAATTCTTAATGTACTTCTGATTCATAAAATGGTGTAATGTACTCATCTATCAGTATACAGATATCTCACAAATGGGGAATATATACTGTTACATGGTTTGAACTCAAGAATATACTCATTTTGTTTATACATGTTTATTTTGTACATGTGCTACAGGTGGCATAGTTAAAATAAATGTCCAAAAGCATATTTCTTATTTTATGCCTTAAATTTATGTTAAAAATGAAATTGAATTAGGCAAGAATGGTAACTTTTCCAAATTGCTTAAATGAAGTGTCAAAACTGTAATCTTAATTATTAGAGCAAAAAGGTTGTGATAAAGTTAAATCATATAGAGACCTTCTGCCTTTTAATGATCTTTCTAAGTACACATTTTTCAAGTCAGAAGTTTGTGGGAGGCATATGAGACCAATTTCATGGCTATTAGGAAATCAATCAGGGTATCTGTTTTCTATTCTCTATGGCCATATGAGAAAATAGTTCCTGCTCTAGGTAGAAATAAACAGACTTTACAGCAATTGATAGCTTTATTGAAAACAGCCCAGTTAGAATTATATTTATGGATCTATGGTGTGATCCATCAATGACTCTTAACAAAGAAATCCATATAATTATTTAAAATTGAGACTTCCAATTACAACTCTTACAGTATTGAATTTCCATAATGACTTCCTGAAAAATTATACATAAACTGATTTGCTGGAAAGCTTCAGAAATTCAAAGTGATCATAGAAACTCTTTAGACTGAAGTATGATTAATCTTTATTTTCAATCTGATTTTTACAGAAAACAATATCTAAAAGTACACAACATTGCTATTAACTTTCACTTAATATATATATTTATACAGTAATATGGACTACATGGCATATCAATTTTAGCAACAAATATAACCCCTTGCTAAAGTAAATCTAACTCCATGTAATCTATATTGTTGAACTGCTTTTAAGTTTCTCCCACTATAAGTGAAAAAGGATGTTTTCTAAAGCTATAAACAGTATAGCAGATTCTCTCTTATTGGTGCTACAAGCTGCCTTGGAAGTCAGCCATTAAGTAATCTATTTCTTTAAACTGTTCTGTAATGTTCTCTATGCATTCTCCAGCCACAAGAGCTTTTCCATCAATTATAATACAGTCTTCTTCAGTGCTGATTTCCATTGGTCTTCTTTCTTCACTAGCTTCTAAACAGCAGTTAAGTATCTAGAGCCAAAAAAAGGGGGGGGGGAAAGACTTCATTCATATTGTGACTAAATTATGTAACTTTGCAACTGTTTTCACAAAGATGGAAAGACACACTAATTCCCACAATGAAAGAATTGATGGTAAAGGTAATGGAGTTAGCATAGATAGTGAAACTGACTGTTTCAATTAAAGAATGTATCTAGTTTTGTTTCTAATTAAAAACTGCTTCTTGGTTTTTTCTACAAATTGACAGAAAATGGAACTTACTTTAGGTTTTGATTATTAGAGTGGTTTTATAATTATAGAAATCATTTGATATGTTGTGAAATGTAAAGCAACAGGTTGATGTTGTATTGTTTTTATTATCTACTGCATCAAGGACAATCAGAAGTAGTTACTTTTTTTCTTGTCTTTTTGTACCTTTCTCTTTTTTTCTTATTTTTCTAACTTTTGTTTCTTTTATATTTTTACTTTATAATAAAACTTAATAAAATGTAGTAATGCCACAACTCAGTGCACTTGGTTCAACAAGAGATGGTTCATTATATTTGTATAGCTAATGATTAGGTTCAAACTTCTTGCTAACCTATAAAGTGGTTTGTCTTATTTTTGCTAAACAGATTTCATGATTCACTATATTGCAGTCTGCAAACAAGATTTAATCTAGCTAAACCTCATAGTTAACAAAGCATTATTTAAAAACAATTATACTGTGAGAATATAAATATAAATGTGAATAAAAAACCACAGTACAATGCTCATTTACTGAATAATTTTAGCTATGTCTTGATGGAAATATAATCTTTCAACTGGAAATTCTGTGCTGGATCCAGATATTATTTAGTTATTGAGATATTCAAATGAAAGAAATAGGACTAATCTAAAATCCATCAGTTTTAATGTACTGGATAGATTGTCAAGTTTATTAATGAGGTTATGTATAATTCATTTTTGAATTCTTTCTATTGCTCCTCACTTGGTCTGTTATAGACAGTCGTGTAGATTGTGATTCAACTAGAATTTTTTGGAAAATTGTGTAACAGATGTAACTAATATATAAATGAGTAAATCTACCTGAAATGCTATAGGATTTCTACATTACTATTAAGTGAATAGCAAACAATTTTTAAAAATAATAATAATATTTTTTTAAAAATACACAAACTGTTTAGAATATGGCCATACTTTTTGGTCTCTACATAATCCTGGAAATAGTCAATATGTACTTAATATAAAGTTGTTTCAATAGAGCCTAAATAAATTAATATAGAATTGTTTTGTAATATATGTGGAAAATGTCTATAAGTAAACATAAATAATTATACATTCATATAGCACTCTCTTTCTTTATAAATGAATTTTTGCAGTCACATATTCCTCCTGCCATTTAAAAAACATATAAAAGAAACCCACCCACCCCTTTTTTAGCCTTTTTTAGCTTTTTAAATTGTCAAATGGGTTTTAGTTTCAATGTTTTAAATTTTGGGCCACAGTTATATAATTCTTTTAATAATTTTAAATTTTGTATTGATATGTGTTTTATTTTTTATTTTTTATTATAGACAAACATACACATACAGACATTGACGTTTAAACAAACTAAACATAGACTAACTATACAGTGAAATCAAGTCATAGAGCTTGAACTTTGAAAATAGAGCTACTTCGGTAATTATATATCTATATATCTGTATATATTATCTTTCATCATGTATCAATGTTTATATAACGACATTTCATTTTATTCCCTTATTTTTGTATCATTGGGTGGTATTCCCTTATTTCGTGTTCTTTTTATCTAACCAGTTGTACCATTTTTGCCAAATTAAGTAATAGTCTGAATCTTCTTTTCCCTGTATTTCTTTGGTCAGTTTATCCATTTCCGCACATTCCATTGTTTTTTGTATTATTTTTTCTTCTGGTGGCGTATCTTCCAATTTCCACATTTGTGCGAAAACGATTCTAGCTGCGGTTAGGATATGTATTATCAAGTATTGTGTCTCTTTTTTATAGTCCTTTGTCAGTATTCCTAATAGGTATGTTTCTGGTCTGAGGGGCACTTTTTGGGTGGTGATTTCTTCCAGCTGACTTTGAATTGTTTTCCAAATTTTTTTTACTTTTGGGCATGACCACCACATGTGGTAGTAGGTCCCCTTCTGTATTTTACACTTCCAACAATTCTGATTGGTATTGGGAAACATTCTTGCCAACCGTGCAGGGGGGAGATGCCACCTATAAAACATCTTGTATGTATTTTCTTTGTAGGGCACGGACATTGTCAGCTTAGTATTTACTTTCCACATTTTTTCCCAATTTTCTAGGTTAATATTATATCCAAAATTTTTAGCCCAAATAATCATATTTTCCTTCACCACTTCTTCTTCCAATTTGTATTTTAGCAGATAATTATATATTTTAGTTATTAATTTATCATCTGATTGCATTATAATTTTATCTAATTCATTTCTTTCTTTTTGGATTCCAAATTTTTCCATATCACTTTTATATCTTGATTTTATCTGTAAATACGGCCCCCAATCAATGTCCGTGCCCTGTTGTCTCAATTCCTCTCTTGTTTTCATATCTCCCTCTGTGTTCAACAATTCGTCATAGGTTTTCATCTTGTCTATATCCATTGTGTTCGGGTAAATTTGGGCCTCCATGGTTGATAGCCATCTTGGGATTTTGTCGTAGTGTTTTCTCCTTATTTCAGTCCAAATTTTTGCCAATGCTCCTCTGATATAGTGTCTCCTGAAGTGTTCATGTTGTCTGGGCTTTTCCTTCCATAAAAATGCGTGCCAGCCTTTTGACAAGTCAAATCCTTCTAGTGCTAATGTTCGTTTATCTTCGAGTGTCATCCAATCCTTAATCCAAGTTAAAGCTGTTGCAGTGTAATAAATTTGCCAATCTGGTAATCCCAGGCCACCCCTTTCCTTGGTGTCGTGCAGGTGTTTCAGTTTAATCCTGGCTCTTTTTCTTTGCCATATATACTTTAATGTCATTTTATCAAGGTCTTTGAAATATGATTTTCCTGGGTTTATTGGTATTGTTCTAAATAGATATAATATTTTTGGTAGAATTGTCATTTTAATTGAAGCAATTTTGCCTAGTAGTGATAGTTTCAATTTACTCCATGCCTCTAAATCCTTCTGAATTTGTTTGGCCAATTTAATATAATTGTCTTCTTTAAGGGATGATACCTTATTGGTGAGCCAAATTCCTAGGTATTTTATTTTTGTTGTTGTTTGTATTCCTAATGTCTCTTCCAATTCTTTCTCCTGGGTTTTTGTCAAATTTTTAGTTAGTAGTTTTGTTTTTTGTCTATTAATTTTCAATCCTGCCACTTCGCCATATTCTTCTATCTTCCTTAGTAAATTCAGTCCTGATTGTTTTGGTCATTCTAAAATAAATACTACGTCGTCCGCGAATGCTTGTAATTTATACTCCTGGTTTTTTGTTCTTAATCCTTTTATTTCATTGTCATTCCTAATTTCATTCAACAGTGGTTCCAATGCTAATATATATAATATAGGAGAGAGGGGACATCCTTGTCTCACTCCCTTGGATATTTTGAATTGGTCTGTTGTCTCTCCGTTTATCCATATTTTTGCGATTTGGTCTGAGTATATTGTTTTAATCATATTTAAAAATTTATCGCCGGTTCCCATTTTTTCTAATTGCAATGTTAAGAATCCCCAATTAAGATTGTCGAACGCCTTCTGTGCGTCAAGGAAGAGTAAGGCCATCTTTTTGTCCGATTTTTGCTCATAATATTCCAATATATTGATTATTGTTCTTGTGCTCTTATTGATTTGCCTATTTGGAATGAATCCATTTTGGTCTGGATGGATATAATTCACGATAATTCTCTTCATTCTCTGGGCCATGATTGATGTAAATAATTTATAATCTGCGTTTAGAAGTGATATGGGTCTGTAGTTTTTGGTTTGGGTGAGATCTGAGTCTTCTTTAGGTATCAATGTAATGATTGTTTCTATCCATGATTTAGGAATTTTGGCTTCTAGGATTGCTTCATTCAGGACTTGTAATAAAATATCATCTAGTGGCTGGTATTCAATTTTGTAAAATTCCGCCGGGATGCCGTCTGGACCTGGTGTTTTATTGTTGTTCTGCTTCTTCTTCGCTTCAATTAATTCTGACATCGATATTGGTCTGTTCAAGAGTTCTCTTTGAGTTTCCTTTATTTCTTGAATGTTGGATTTATTTATATACTCTTTTACTTTTTCCAATTGGATTTCTTCCTGTGCATATAGTTCCTGATAGAAATTTCTTACGATTCGCTTTTTTTCTTCATCCATATGCTGCAATTGCCCTTGTTCGTCTTGTAGTTGGTGTATTATTCTTTTTTCCTTTTCTTTCTTTAGTTTATAGGCCAACCAATGTCCTGTTTTATTTGCAAATTCAAATTGGTTTTGTTTTGCCATTTTGATTTTCCTAGCTATTTCTGTTGTTGTTATTAGGTTTATTTCATGTTTAATAAGGTTTATTTTTCCCTTGATCTCTTTCCTATCGGGTCTGTTCTGTAATTCTGCTTCCTGTTTTCCGAGCTCAATCAATAAATTGTTTCTTCTTTGCTGTTTCTCTCTGTTTTTCTTCACCTTGAATGAGATGGTTAGTCCTCTTATATATGCTTTTGTAGTGTCCCATAGGACTTGCAATGATGTTTGTTCCCTCTTGTTTATTTGAAAGAATATCTCCATCTCTTTCTTTATCATCTCTATGTATTCTTTATCTTTGATGATCTCTCTATCCATCATCCATCTTCCTCTTTTTTGCTGGCCTTTCCAGACTATTGTTATAGGACTGTGGTCTGCCCATACGTTCGGTGTAATTTCGATTTCTTTTATGTTTTCTCTTAGTTCTGCAGTCATCCAGGCCATGTCTAGTCTGGACCAGGACTGATGGGGATTTGAGTAATATGTATACTGTTTTTTGGTTTTATTCAGTTCTCTCCAGGCATCTTTCAATTGTAACTCTTGAATCATATCCTTAAAGGTATCGGGTAGTGTCTTTTTCCTAGATTTATTTTTTTTGTTACTTTGGTAGTCATAGTTCATATCAACGATTGCATTGTAGTCCCCTATTATACATATATGCTCGTAGTCTAATTCTTTAATTTTATCGTGTATCTTTTTAAAGTATTCTTTTTGGTTCCCGTTTGGAGCATATATTGATGTCAATAACATATTTCGGGCCTCCATCTTAATGTCTATCATTAGTATCCTGCCATCTCCATCTGTGTAAATTTGTTTTGCCTGAATGTGGCTTTTAATGTATATTGCGATACCTCTTTTTTTTTGATCTGATAGTGAGGTGAATAATGTTCCAAGTTTTCTGTTTTCTAGTAACTGTTGATGTTGTTTTTTGATATGTACTTCTTGTAAGTTGATAATATCTATGTCTAATTTTTGAAGTTTTCTGAAAGTGTGTGTTCTTTTGGTTGGTAGATTAAGGCCGTTTATATTGATTGAGATTAATTTCAACTCTCGTCCCATTTCCCTTAGTTTTTCTTTGTTAGTCTAAGTCTACTTGTGTTGTTACCATTTGTGTTTTCCCCCTAGCCCCTTCTCTCTCCATCCTCTCCCTTTCCCTAGACTCCTTCTCTTCCTTTTCTTTTTTTGTTTCCCCCATAGAGTGTTCCTGGTTTGTATTTTCTGAATCACGTCTAGTTTCCTGTTCTTCTTCTATTATAAAGTGAGTGTCAAGAAATTCTTGTGCCTTCTCTATCGTGTCGATTTTATATTTTTTGTCATCCCAAGATATTAGAATTCCCTCTGGCACCAGCCAGCGGAACATTATTTTATGTTGATTCAGTAGGGTTGTCAAGAAATTATAGTTTTTTCTGTATTCTCTTATTCTTCTTGGAACTTGTTTTAGGGTTATTATTTCTTTTCCTTTGTAGCAGGGTTTTCCCTCTCTCATTGATGTGTAGATCTCTTCTTTTACAGTTTTACGTGCGAATCTAACATGTATTTCTTTAGGTAGTTTGTTCCTACGAGCATAGTTCGTATGAACTCTATATATTTCGTTAATTTCCCTACTAATATCGTTTTTTTCCTTCTGGGTAGCCTCTACTAATATATCTGTCATCAGGTCTCTTAGATCTTCTCCTTTTGTTTCTGCAATATTTTGAAACCGTAAAAAGAATGATGCCTTTTCTAATTCTAAATGGGTAATTGACTCTTCGAGTTCTCTATTTAACTCCATTTGATTTTGTTCGATGTTATCCATCTTTTTCTCCATTAGGACCATTTTAGCTTCCATGTTTTGGATTCGTTCTTCGTTTTTAACTATGTTTTGTTGTATTCTCTCGATCTTATCGTCCATTTTTTTAATATTATCATTTATTTGTCCTACTTCTGATTTCAGTTCCTCGTGGTTCTTTTTTGTTTCTTCATGATTATTCGCTATTGTTTCTTGGGTCTTGTTCATCCCCTCCTGAATCATAGCTAGTATAGACTGTATATTCTGTATGTTGTGTGCAGTGGCAGCTTTTTCTTTGTCTGTAGTTAGCATCGTGTCTATGGTTTTTTGTTGTGCAGGTGAAGATTGTGTAGGTATTGGGTTTGTTGTTAATTTTTTCCCTGTTTTAGTTATTGTTATTGAGGATGTTGCCATCGTTGTTTTTTGTGTTATTTTTCCCCAAATTTTCATATACTGATTTGGTTGAGGGTAGATGAAATATCGTTATATAAGGATCGGCTTAATTAATTCATAGGAGTTAGGGGGAAAATGCAGTGTTTTAACAATTCATTCTTCTATTCTTGTTCCTAAACAATATAATACAATTAATGTTTAAATACCAAGTTATCACAGTACTTAAATTCACTTTAAGACTAAACAATTTCTATATAACCTTTATGTAATAAATCAATGGGATTTAAGATTCTCTATAAATCATCTAAGATATTCTATTAAGTTATATCACAATTACCAGTACATGCTACTTATATTAATTATCACAATTATTATTCCTTAATAAAATCTATAACCATCTCTATACAATGTCTATGTTAATATCTAGCTTTCTAATCAATACACAGTATAATTCCCCTTAATCAATGTATTACTGTACAATCTATATACTTATTTCAATGGGGTGGGAAACAATAAAACAATAAAAGAAAAGATAATATTAAGTCAGTTCCTTAGTGTATATTATAATAACTTCAAATTTGATATTAGTATTCTTTAAGCAGAATTAAGTAAGTTTTAAATTTGGATTTTATAAAGTAAATGAAATTTAATAATTTAATGTTTAAAGTTCTCCACTGTATCACTCTCAGACCAATTAGGGTTGCTTCCTTCTCCTTCTCCTTCTTCCTTCGTTCTTCAGTTCACCTTCTTTTCACCCAGCTATCACAATTCTATTGCAATAGCCTCTATTAAATCCGTAAGTAAGTCAATTGTTCCGATTTTCCTGTGTAGCAAGTTATATCTCCTTTGCCAACAGCGTCAATGTATCTAATGTCTCGCTACGAATCTCATGTCTGTAGTTGAATTTGTTATTGTCGCTGGACACAAAGTAAAAGTTTTCTTCTCTGAATCCTCAGTCCGCCATTCGCTACTGTTCAGCTAGTTTCCTTCCGCCCACAACAATCTTAAATAGTCTCAGTTCTTTAAGTTCACTTTCTACAATCACTCTCTTAATTAATCCTTCTTTTCCTCTGTTAAGTCAAGATGTATTATTGTAAAGTTATAATCCACCGCTTACTTGTAATCCTTTTTGTCTGTCACTCGTTCCTTTCGCCAGTCAAATCTGCATTGTCACTGTGGGTATTAAGCTTCACTCCGATCACTGTCTCTTGCCGCTTGCCTGATGATCTTGCCGCCGCTTTTTGGAGTCCTATTCTCGCCAATGTATTTAAATCCTCATGATTATACCTTTGTATTTCGATTTACTTAGTCCTTACCGATGTTTCTCTTTGTAATCTTCGCTTCCACACTTGTCGGTTGACAGCGCTCCGGCCAGCCAAAATGGCTGGTTTTTTCCCGGCTGGAGTTAGGGGGGTTTCCCTCTGAACCTTCGGGGTGATTGCTGTCACACCGAGGTCCTAGAGAGTCCTCCTTTTTCTATCGACCTCTCCGTGGTCGATAGTGCCAAAAACGGCTTCCAATCAAGAAATTTGGAACTTCGGGGACGGAGCCTCGTTCCCCTCATTCCTTACACGCTGACGTCACCGCCGGAAATAGAATTGTTTTGTAATATATGTGGAAAATGTCTATAAGTAAACATAAATAATTATACATTCATATAGCACTCTCTTTCTTTATAAATGAATTTTTGCACTGTCACATATTCCTCCTGCCATTTAAAAAACATATAAAGGAAACCCACCCACCCCTTTTTTAGCCTTTTTTAGCTTTTTAAATTGTCAAATGGGTTTTAGTTTCAATGTTTTAAATTTTGGGCCACAGTTATATAATTCTTTTAATAATTTTAAATTTTGTATTGATATGTGTTTTAGTTCTGGCTGTGCCCGAGTCCACTAGGAGAAGGGCGGGATATAAATTGAATAAAATAAATAAAATAAAATAAATAAAGGAAGAATAGTATTAAAATGACAATTGTTTTTTGATATGCCCAAAATAAAAATATGTTCACTTGTCAGTATATTGGTATCCTACTGATAACTATTTTATTTATTCATAAAATATATTTATTTAAAGGATATATACCTTTATTTCTCAAATTAATAATGAAATTATTTTTTTTCATGTTTGAAGTGAACATTTTTTGCAAATGCATTCTAAAACCAGCCTAGCTCCATATATGCTTATTCAAACTATGTCTCATTGATTTCAATGGGACTTACCCTTAGATAAATATGCATTGCATTTTATCTCCACCACCCCAACATTAGTAGCAGTTTTTGGACTTCAAGTTAATAATTCATACCTCTTCTCTTTCATTATTATCTTCTCCATTCTCAGATGATTCCACAGAAGGTTTGGAGGTGACTAATACTTGACTGAGAATTTGGTCCAAATCTTTCAGTATAATTTTTGTTTCTGTTACAACTAAAAACATGCAACAATATTTTCAATAAAAATATACAATTATATTACCACAATTCTACGGATTGCTTAATTTAATTCAACTACATTAACAGGCATTAACTGGAAATAGCAATCATTACAATTGTTTATGTTTCATATGTTAACTTATTAATACATTCATTTTAAAATGAATTTTAAAATTTATTCTACTGATAATACTAATGTGTGATTTCAAATGAATGCCTAAAAATTATTGCAGGATAGTTTCCAAGTTTAATTGAGTGGGAACATACATTCTGTCAATAACATATTTTCAGCAATTTTTTTAAATGCCTATTTTTAGAGACCCATAGTTATTAAGGAAGAATAATTTGTCTATAATAAGCAATAAATGGGCACATATCTGTTCATGGTGTTGCAGTTTGAAATAGGCTTATTTTGGAACATAGTTATTTTCAATTCCCTGGAACTGACTTAAAATGGGAAGAGATGAAGACTCCTGAAGAAGAGAAAGGTTACCATTCAGTGAACCAGCAAAATTCACAAAGAAGGAATATCTAACATGCCACTTTTTTCACCATTTTGCTCTTTGTCCCACTGATTTCAAATGTATTTAGGATTAACAAGATAGGATCCAATTTTGTATGACTAATCTACATCTGCATGAAAAGTTTACTTATATTTTATTTATTTATTGTACCTTTTTACATGAATTAAAAACAACTAACATAAAACACCTTTCTCAAATATTATTCCCATAACAACTTTCCAGAATTTTCTTGGACAAGACATTGTGACTAGTCCAGTCTTTACTTTTCCAATGTTATTCTCATGTTTTATGCTTGTGCATTTAGATGACAATATTTAAACATAGAAATAGGAATAGCAACTTCATTCACTATACTTTTATTTATTTTTCTTCCAGGGACTAATTTGAATTTTTCCTGCTCTAATCTGAATATGTTTCACTATAAACAATCTTTTCATTGCTTGTTGTTGCATTATTAATTTTATATATGTTTAGAAAGCAACTGTATTTGAAGACTTTTTAAAAAACAGAATGCATAATCATTAGCAAAGAGAATCTCTCAGACAGTTTCCTTCACTTTGGTAATTAAGCTATTACTGCATTCATATTAATTCATTTATTTTTTTTAAAATTTTGATTTATATGCCGCCCTTCTCCGGAGACTCAGGGTGGCTTACAATGTGCTCAGCAATAGCCTTCATACTTTTGTATATTTATACAAAGTCAGCTTATTGCCCCCACAACTGGGTCCTCAATTTACCTACCTTAGAAAGGATGGAAGGCTGAGTCAACCTTGAGCCTTGGCGAGATTCGAACCTGCAGTAATTGCAGGCAGCTGGTCTTAATAACCAGTTTAATAACAGGGTGCCTTAAACCACTGTACTACCAAGGCTCTTTGCATTTGCATGCTTGTACAGAAATAGATTTATGTTTTATAATAGGTATTCCAAACCAACCTTTTTCTAAGCAGGTAGTGATGAAACGATCATGATTTTTATTTATTATAGGTCTTTTGAAGGCTGAATATATATTTTTGTATTCTCTTATGCATCAGTTCATATCACATTACAGAATAACGTTTTGCCAAATCTTGCATTTATAGGGAATGTTATACATTTTTCCTAAAATTTGGAAATGGCTCTAGACTGAAAGCTGACGTCGCGGCGAGACGAGTGGGAATTTCTGGAGCTCCAGAAATCCCGCCGATAGCTCCGCTGCTGCATGGTCCGTTCTGGACCCCACAGTCTAGTTTTGACTGTGGCAGTGGAGGGCATATCCTGTGGATCCCAGGGACACCGCAAAGTCCCTGGTGATCCAGGAAAGCCCTTTTTCCAGCGGTGGAGTAGCAGCCATTAAAGCTGTCGAGGCTGTGACAGTTTCAGGAAGAGAGAGGAAATGACAGTGATCAGATCGGTGAGAGACTTTATTTATTTATTTATTTATTTGTTTGTTTGTTTGTCCAATTTATATGCCGCCCTTCTCTGTAGATTCAGGGCATCTTACAATGCATTATAGCAATAGCCTGCATACTTTTTTGTATATACCTGCTTATTAGGGCTTTCACCCCCCCCCTAAGTGGCGTTGTTCTATACAAAGTTGGCTTACTGCCCCCACAATCCGGATCCTCAATTTACCTACCTCGAAAGGATGGAAGGCTGAGGCAACCTTGAGCCTGGTGAGATCTTACTTCTTTTTAAATAATACAAAGAACACCTTGCGGGATGAATGACTTGGAGACTGAGAGTAAGCGAGAATAAGCGGCAAATTTATTTGGGAACAATTTTTTTTACCCAAGTACCTAATTTAAAGGATTTAAAAATTGCTTCATTTTTACTATTGACCTGACCTGGACTGGACTGAAGAAGAAAAGAGCAGTATTGGTAACTCTTTAAATTTTGTTTTCTTTAAAAATAACTGATTGATGTTGGTTGGATTATTTGGACTGGAGCCCTTTCTTTTCCTTTCTTCCTTTTCCTTTTTTTTTTTTTGTATTAATTTTTGATTAATTTTAAACGGAAGAATTTGGGACTTCTAAGAATAGGAAAGATAGGAGAGTGTGTAATACTGCCACCTGCTGGAAAATAAACTTTGTTTTTATGTTTATTCAAGTAACAGCTGAAAGATACATTGTAGCCATAACAGAGAGGCTCTGTACTGTGACTGATAAGAGGGAAAAGCAACTGAAGAAGTGGAAATATTTGCACTGTTTGTACAGGTGCTCTTGTCAGATTTATTTGAAATAGGAGTCTGGAAATACTCTGGAAGGCTTTTGATCTCTTTTGAGCAGTTACTTGTTTCTTTTTTTTTTCTTGTTAACTGTGGCTTGGATAAGAAATCAACCTCTGTATGCTTTCTGGATATAAAAGTGCTTGAAAGACTATTTGCTTTTCCTTTTTTTCCTTTTTTATTTTTTGGATTTGGGATTTTTATATAACTCCATTGGATTAAGGCATCCAAGAGCCTGAAGATTTATTGACTTCTTTTTTTTTTTCATTATGGATGTGGATTTTTATTTTTATTTTTTTACATTAAATTTTTTTTTTGTCTTCTTTTCTTTCCTTTTTTCAATTCTGGCCGGCTTGTTTCCTTTTTGCCCCTTTTTTCTCTTCCTCGCTTTTTGCTATTTTTTTTTCATGTTTTACTTTTTATTCTTATTTTGTTTTTCGTTAACACTTAAAGGATTAGGGTTTTGGAAGAACCTGAAGAATTGCTTCTCCCTTTTTTTTTCTTTTTCTTTTTCGTCTATTTGGCTTTTTTAAACTTTTTGCTTTTTGGAAGTGGTTTTGGCTGAATATTTTAAAAAAATGAGCAGAAAAGTAGCAACAGTGGGAGCTGCAGCAACCACACCATCTTCATCGCCATCTGGAGGCCAACATACTATTCAAGCGATGTTGCAACAAGAGAAAGAGAAAGAATTACCGGTACAAACAATTATACAAACACTTCAAAGGATGGAACAACAACTATTGAAGACAGATGAAAAAGTTCAGAGGATGGAACAACAGCTGCTTAAGACAAATGAAAAAGTGGTCAGCATTCAACAAACAATGTTGAAATATGAAGAAACACTGGTAAAATTAGAGAAAAAAGACAACCAAAAAGAAGAAAAAATGAAGGAAATAGAGAACAGATTGGGAGAGGTTGAACAAGAAACAACTGGTCTAATTGGATGGGAAATGGACAAAGCAGAATTCTACTTAAGATTTAAAAATGTGGAAGAGGAAAAAGGGGAAAATTTGGCAGATATTATGATTGAGATGTTGGCCGAGGCATTAGAAGTCACTAAAGAGAAGATGATGGATGGGGTCGATGAGATTTATCGAGTTTATACTAGATATGCAATGCATAATAAATTGCCAAGAGAAGTACATATAAGATTTACTAAGAAATCGATTAAAGCACAAATTCTTCAGGCAGCCAGAGAAAAAACTCTGAAATACAAGGAGAAAGAAGTGGTGGTTCTGAAACAAATACCAAGAAAAATGAGAGAGTTGAGAAGAGGATATCAATTTTTGACTAAAATTCTGATTCAAAAAGGAATTAACTATAGATGGTTGATTCCAGAAGGATTAAGTTTAACATGGCAACTTCAAAGATATAGATTGAATACAATTGATAAAGCGAGAGCTTTCTATGATGAATTCCTTAAAGAGAAAGAAGTAGAAATGGAAGTTGAAACTCAAACTACAGTAGTCCCAATAAATTTAACAGAAGAAGAATTGGCAATGCTTGAATCAACAGAGGGTGCTGTTGGTGGGGTTGTGGAACACAAGGAACAATGTGAAGTAAGATCAACTAGAGCAACAAAACCTACATATAAAGTATGAACATGGAAGAAAGGAAATTAATTTCAATAAATATAAATGGACTTAACACGGCTACTAAAAGAAGAAAAGTATTTCATAAATTAGAGAAATTAAAATTTGATATAATTTGTTTACAAGAAGTGCATATTAAAAAACAGCATGAACAATTACTGATACAACCACAACTTGGAAGAACTTTTTTATCTTTGTCACAAAGTAAAAAGAGAGGAGTTGCTTTATATATTAAAAATGTAACATTAGCGGAGCAGAAATATGCAGGTGCAGAAGGTAGAATTTTGATGGTAGAAATAATTAATAATATGAAAATTCTTTTGGTAGCAATATATGCTCCAAACAACAATCAAAGTGATTTCTATAGAAAATTACACAATAAAATAATTGAAATGGAATACGACAATATATGTATGATGGGAGATTTTAATGGAATTGTGGATGAAAATTTGGACTATAAAACACATAAAGCCATAAGACATAACAGGAAGACATTACCGAGATCCTTTTTTAAGATGATAGAGGAAATAAGCTTGAAAGACATATGTATAGGTCAGTAGGTCAAAGGTCTCAGTGCCAGGCTGTAGCAGCACACTGCCGGCTTGTGCTCTGTGGGTCTTTCCTGCTTACTTCATTACCTCATTATTGGCTCGGATATGGATGATCTAATATAC